TCCATTACAGGCCCTGGTGGATAGAAGTTCAGAGGCTCCTCACACAGGAGGATTTGTTAGCCTGGCGACGTTAGCAAACAAGGCACGTGCATTATTAATGTTTTTAGCGATGATGTCAGAGAAGGACTCTTGCATTTCTCAGTTCCAAATTATAAATATGTCTCATTATGGATCTGGATTTTTTTTTCCTACCTGCATTCAGCCCTTTGACACTCTTTTTTCTATTCATATCAGCGTGGCATTTCTCCATGGAGATCTTTTACTGACAGAGACATCCTTCACCTTATTGAGTAAAATAGCATCGATGACATTTGTAATTTTAGAATTTTAATTATATAGCCTACAAGCTCATTGACTGAGACCCAAGAGAGGACAGGTGTGTAAGAAAAGAATGAATACATGTTTAAATGGTGATTACCTCTGTTTGAACATTTGTGTGCACGGAGATGGGCTTGCAAAGACAACACAGGAATGATCCGAAAGAGCGACATCAGTTGCCACAAGCTTAGAAATGTTCAGACCCTTTGAGATAATGAAGTCCAGAGTGTGCCCCTTAATGTGTGTGGGCTTCTTCACATGCTGAGTCCGTCCATAGTTATCTTGAACACAACACGGTTCTTCGGTGCCTGTGTCCTTAACACGAATGTTAAAATGACCAACGATCACTACACAGTGAAAGTCAAAACAGATTACTGACAGCAGTTCAGAAAAGTGTTGCAGAGTAATTAGGTGGCCTGTAGATATATCTGCTTGAATTGAAGGGAATAGCTGTGATTATTATGCCCAAAACCAGTAAAGATGGACGTCAAGGGGAGTAGGGTGGGGGGTTAAGGTTGGTTCTTGCAGAGAGCTCCTTCGTCTGGTCAGTGAACGGAGAGGCGGGAGGAGGGAGAGAGAAGGGTGAACTCAAACTTATATTTTAAACCCTTTCATAACGTCCTTAACCATGAAAAACATAAGCAAGCAGGCATGAAAAACCTCTTTTGCTTTCTAAAATCGATAATCCCTCACAAGGTCTTCTCCCTCACAAGGCCATCTTGGAAAAGCTGTCTTATTCTGTAAAGACATGAATGCATGGAGGACAATACTGAATTGAATAGGGATTGTCTGTTATGGTATGACATTGTGGTTGTCAAATTATATAATTCACACACAAAACACATGAACTAAAATGTGACTGAAATGCATTGTGTTTGGATGAACTGGGTTAAAATATAATGGTAGTCATTAGTCAAGCTAGAAACAAGGCTTCTGACAACCATTCATAATTTAACTCAAATGTTTTTTGTGGAAATGTGTTGATCATTGCGATGCAAAGTTTGTTACAATCTAGACAAAGTAGATAACGATGATTAACGTAATTAACAGTTATTAGCCTGAAAAGTGATACATATTTAAAAGTCCCGGTCCTGCTTATGAGCACACTGTTGTATAATGAGTGTTAACCATCAAACCAAAATAAACCATGTTCAATATACATGGTTTATTGATTCGATTTCAATTACACAGTGAATGTCTGCAGTCTACGACATATTATATTAATTTATTCTGTTGTGTGTGGAGTAGTTGTATCACAGCTGTTATCAACCTTGAAAAAATGATTTGTTTTGTTACGTCTTTAGAAAACATGTACTATTCCTGCAGTTGATCATTATTAGTGAATGCTTCATTTCGTATTTCCGTATGATTAAATATTTCTTGTCTTATTTCCTTTTTCACCAAGTAACACTGTGCATCCAAGAAGATGCTTTTGGGGGAATGCCATATTTGTTGGTACACTTTTCAAACCTCTTGCTCATTTATTTTTCATCATATCTCTACTTTTAATATCTGCAAAGTCTCTTGAGAACCTGTTGCTAAATTAAATACTGAAACACTTGGAAAATCACCTCATCTTCTACTAAACTTTTCGACGTTGGAAAGCACTTTTACACTTAAATACTGTACGCATTACTTTAAATATTTTAAGGTAACTGTGAACGGCCCACTGCATCTGGTTTCAATCGTTTTGCTGGTGGAAACTAGGCAAATGTGTTGATTGGCAGGCAGCATTGAAATGCCATTCAAGTGTTCTTCAAATAGATTATATATTTGTCCGTGAAATAAAAAATTATAATTGAATATATACTCTAAATAAGAAAACATTCATTTCAAGGGGCCCGGCATAAAACATAATTTCAAGGTCACTTGTTCGAGCCCAGACCACTAATACATTGGCTTTATGTCTATGGAAATGAGTCGAGCTGATATTGCAATGGCCTTCTCTTCAAAGAGCCTCCTGGGATTTGGAAACGTTACATTTGAGCCTGACTTTTGAACACCTCCATAATAGAGGAATGGATATGTGGATTTTTAGACGGATTATTTAACAGTTGACACACTGGCTGTAGACAAACCGTTGACAGTAGAGACACGTGTTAGCAAAATTTAATATATTTCTCAAGTCATGAACACCTCACCAAGCTTTCACAAAGAAACTCACAGAAGCCTTCACATGTCTTGCAATCAGGCTACTTGTTAAAAATAGTAAAGGCTCAAATCACATGCAGTAGTGTGAAAACAAAAAGGATGGGAGTTAATTTTTAGGACAACATCTTCCTTATAGCAATCAGATAATATTGTATTTGTGACTAGAGCTGGATCTTTCAACCACTTCATTTGACTAATCTATTGGTACATTTAAGATACTAATTCATCATTCAACTTATGCAAAATTTGTAATGGCAAAATGTTATTTATTAAGGCTGGTTGCCATTTAAGTACACACCAAATGATTATTTCACCTTCCTATAAAGCTAACACTTGTAACTGTTGACAAAGCTTTATTCCACGTTAACATTACTGCAATTGTCAGCGTTGAATCATCTTATATTCTTCCAGTCTTTACTGCAGTTATTGAAGGAAAGGTCTCTCTCTTCCCAAATGCCCTCTTGAGCTTATACTGCCAAATATATTCAAAATCTACGGTTTATTTTCAGAATTTGGAGACTTGATTTTGATTGGAATTAGTTATATGCAAAGTGAGCTTGCACTAGAACAGCATGTTTGATATTGCCTACCACCCATGTGAACTAACAGAGTGACTGTAATAAGAGACTGTGTTTGATTGATGGGTAACTTTACCCTTATTATAATAAAAAAGGAGGGACACTGGAGACATTGCTGAAAACGACAAGATAAACATGTGAGTCTAAAGTTAACAGTAGCAGCCTAACTCATTCATTCAATTAATGAGAACTGTCACAAATATCTGTGCAGACATTAGATTAATACAAAATATTAACATTTTTATGCTTCTCCCCTGCTACATATTTCTGTCACATACAGCAGCCTGTCTTTGGTATAACAACTAAAACAGGAGCCATGTGGGGCTGAATTCAATCTCAACAAGCTGCAGCTATCTTTATCTGTAAAAGGAATATTTTAATGACATTTTGAAAATAATAGATAATAAATGATAGAAACGAAAATCGATCACTGTCTAAAACTTGTGTTGTCATTTTTTAAGTAACGTAAGTTACATTGTATCTTATAAGAATTATTAAAAACAACATCTTTATTTTTCAACTGTTAATAACATAGTCAATCTTCAGTCTATTATTTTAAGATATAACCTTTGAGTGCTAAGTCCAGTGCATCCAGATTCTCCTTTATTCTGTATTATAACATCTGAGCTGATAATGTTTAATTAAAAAGTTTATTGCATCTGACCAACTATCTAACAACTGCCACATTGCCCCCTGTTTTTAAAACACAGACGTGCATGTAGACTATCTCATACAAATCTACCTCCTATTATCTTTGGAGTCAATTAGACCCCATTCAATGTTCAGCGTCTCTAAATAAATGATTGACATCATTTGTTTTGCTTCATATTTAATGGCTTTTCCTAATTTAATGGGGACAACTGGGTAAACATAAAATCAACATGATATGTTTTCAATGTCCTGTACACAGCTGTACGCATCGGTGTTCTTTGGGGTCAATTTGACCCCAGGCTGTTTTAGCTGTATAAAACATATAAGAAATATCAACATTATACACACATTTGTTTTGGATGATATGAAGGTCAATATAACAAGCAATTTTATAATCTTCAAAAAGCTTTAGGGCCCTAACATAATATAACCATAATAGTGCGAGAACCACTGATAGTTCACACGACATGGGGGAGAGGAAAACATCATTCTCGCAAGAACTTTGATATTTCGTGAAGATATTGACAGTTCACACGACAGAGGGGTGGAGCAAACATATAAAAGCTTGCACAGCAGCCTTCTAAACCATTTCTCTTGGTGCTCTGTGTGCTCTCTCTTTCTGCTCTCTCTCTCAACTGAAAATGTCTTCTAAGGAAAGGTTTTCTGTCAATGAAGTGTCGTCACATCTCTTTGACCATGAAAGTGACAGAGAGGAGAACGTGTCTGAGACAGAGGATGATGTTGAGGAGGACACTGATTATGAGGCATCCTCCTCCGATGAGAATGAGACCCTCAGTGTTGACCCTGCTGTTGTCTCTCAACACACTACCTTCCAAAATTGGAAAGTTATTGTGGAAAGTTATTATGGTCCGTCTCCCCACAACAACAGGGTAGACTTAGTCCTGCTAATGTCATCTACATTTTTGAAATTGTGTTTGTTTTTCTTCATAATACATGTTACTATTCTTGATAACAGACATTGTTTTTCATTACAAATATTATAGATAACAAAAATATGTACTTAGAAATAATATAAAGCCATTAAAACACTAAAAAGATATATCTTATCTTAATTATAATCATTTTCTGGAGGTTTAACTTGCTGGGGTCAAATTGACCCCAGGATAAAATATGTTAGTCAATTTGAAGGTAAGGGTTAAAAATTTACATTTTTTATAATGATTTTAATATATTTCCTTTTACTGCCATGTGTTTGTGAAACTTTTATTTTTTAACTGGGATTATTATTCAGTGAAATATAGTTTCCGCGCTGGTCCGTGAACGAAACCCGTTCGGCTTTTGTTCCGTCTGCAAAGCTGTCCGTAGTGAAACAAGTACTTTGGGCTCAGCTGTGTTGATCGCCCAAACCGACTAGGGAAATTAGCTAAGTGTGAACGTGCAAGACGTTTCACAATTCAGATGAGCTGTTTGAGTTTTAACTGGCAACGTTTAAAGTGACATTCTACCAAACGGTAGCGAGACATTGACGTTAACGTGTCTCCGTCTCTCTGAACGAGGGTGCAACTCCGTCTTAGCGAACTAGAACAAGCTGTTCTTGTCCCATTTAACCATGGACGGGTTTGTAAAATTCACGAGCCAAAGCCAAGGAAGGGACCGGATATTCAGGTGAGTCGTTTAGAGTGTTTGTGACCTGCTCGTAAACTGTCCACCTTTTGTATTTTATTGACAGAAAAGTTGAGTAAACGTTACTGGACACGCGAGGAACAAAAGTATCGAGAGAGCTCTTAATTGAACGTCAACTTTCTACTTTTTCTTACGCTCTTCGTCTTCTTTCTTTATTTCAGGGCGACCCAATATGCATGTTCGCTGTCGATATATTTACTACGAAACAACGCGGAAAGAAAGGACCTTGTGGCGAAACTTAAAAGTCTGGAAACCAACATGAGCGCTGGACGGAAATGTGAGTATACCTGTAACTGTGAAGTGAGAGGCAGGGTTTACACAAGAGCTACAGTAGTTTAAGTTAAAATAAAGATTCAGTTATTGTGGTTCAACGTGTCCAATTCTAGCCATATAGGTTAAGTGCCTCGTGTCACATCCAGTCCCACGGCTGTCATTAATGATACTTGCAGCTGAGTAAAAGCTCTGTGTTGAAAGTAACATTGCTGCCCTTCATTTTCCATTAAAACATTGGAGTAAAGTGTGAAAAATGTCCCTTAAAGTTCCCCATTGCCCAACGGGATGTCTTCAAATAGCTTGTCCAAAGAAAGTCCACAAACACTATTACAAAACAAGTTCTCACATCTGAGAGAATGGCTTTAGCAAACCTTTTTAGCTGCACCGTGGGCTGCTGCTGCGTAATAACCTGAAATCAACATTCTTTTCACTCCAAGACCACTTGGGACACTTTTTTCTTTGTCCTCGTCTTGCTGCTGATTTCCTCTCGAAATACAGTGATGTCTCATCAACAAGGTCAAGATGAGCTGCCCACAAGACAGGAGCAGAGTCGCAGCAAATAACGGCTTAAGCTGTTTGACTTTTCTCCAGTGTCCGTCAAGCCTCTAATCAATAATTCAATAACCTCGTCTGTTTCACTAAACTTTTGGAACTGCTGCCTTTGTTCCAGGAAATTTCTTAAATTGAGTAGAAAAGAGAAGAATAAGAATGAGCTTGTTCTTGACAATTGTTCCTAAGTGCCGTAGCACACGTGGTGGTGAAGTGTTTTATCTGTTTGTGGCTGTGTTGAAGTCCACAGGTTTCCCCCTGTGAGCTGAGATAGACGGTGTATTGGTGACTGACACGCAGACCTGCAGCGACTGTGGCTGTAAAACCGATTACCCTAAAACTGGCCTTGACAGCTCATAGATTTACTTTACAACCCGGGCTTTTTGAACTTTGACACTCTGTGGTTACTTTTGTATTGCTTTTCAATTTGTTGTCGCAGGCCGAACACGGACTGTGTTGCAATGAGGAATACAACATCTTTGATACAACTTGTTCTTTATACAGAGGTTCTAGTAGTAGTGTCCATTTATCATTAAATGCTGATTGTTCATTCCTCAGAATATGTGGGAGTCTTTCCATGAATCATTTATCTCTTTGCCAACGCCGTGGTTTGAATATTAATAACAATGTTTCAGAGACTTGACTCCACATAGAAGTGAAGGATAGGGCGATGCCTTGGAGCAGGGTCGGGCAAGACGGACCTTGCGCCTCTCTGGGTCAAAGTGAACCAGGCCACACTGTGTTTGTGCACCGCTTAATTATCTCCACTGTGCGTCAGTGTCAGTCACGGAGCTCTCCTGCCTCCATGTCTGGTCTGTCTGGCTTCGGTGATGGTGGTTGAAGGAGGCATGCATGGGTCACCATTTAAAAACGGAGAGAGAATTGAATTAGATAACTAAAGCTTTCTTTTCAAGCACGTCGCATGTTGCTCCTGAACTTCCCTGTTTCTGTTAGTAAAGATGACTTTAAGCACTAAAGTGTTTGTGTCACTTACAAGTACAAGGATCTGTTGAATAGTAACTTTAAAACGGTGCTTAATAAAGCCAAACAATACGTTGAATTGTTCCATCTCTTACTGATCCATCTTTTAAAATGTGGCATAGGATAGGGATCAAGTGTGTGAAGGATCTTTTCAAGGAAGGGCGCTTTCTTTCTTGAACAGTTGGAGGACTTTAATCTTCCCCAGTCAGATCTCTGCAGATACATAGTTTTGTTAAAACACACTTCTCTCTAACACACAGAGTACCTGGCTAGATGAATGTTTGGACATGGAGCCAGTTGGCAGGGGTTTGGTGTCTAAATGATAATATTCAGAGGCTCGCTTCCCCATCACTGTATCCCTTAACGAGGCAGTGGGAAGAAGAGTTGGGAGTTACTGTATCAGATATAAATTGGCAGGCTGGAATTACATTGGTTCAGTCTTCATCAACAGGCATTAAACATGGGCTGTTGCAGTTTAAGGCATAAGTAACATCTACCTGCGAGTTAACTGGTCTAACTCTACCCTGGTTTAGACCATAGACTGTATATAAGAAGCGATGTCACCTATTGGTTTGTGGACTGTGCTTTTGAAGCTTCGAGTTCGGTATGTTGGATTTTGACCATCAAAAAGCATAAAGCATACCCTGCATTCCATTCCCTAGCAATAATCTGTTTTTATGTTTCTGTTAATATTTTGAGTATTGAGTACTATTTTGCTTTTACAATATATATGTGAAAATGTATTAAAAAGTAGTAAATTGCTTTATGGTCTCAGAAATCAATTAATGCAAGAGCATGAGCTAGAATATGTGCCATCGCAGCATGTAAAACACACCGAGTAAGTGACGACCATGCTCTTTCCTCCAGAGGGGAAGTGTAATAAGGTGAAAGACACAGTAGTTTGGTTTAGATGGAGCTTAACTGCTCTTGTTAGCGGACTGCTGCTGTGAAATGTTGACCTGACATTTCATAATAGATTGATTACTGCTCTAATATCCCTTTTTGCTTCCTCCTTTGTCAGTGCTCAGGCTGGGAAACACAATAAACTCCATTGAGGCTGCTCAGCGAACCATGCGACTCTCTGACCGAGTGCTGTGCCTGTGCCTCACCGTGGCCAACATCAACCGCGCCCTCTACTTCATCTGTGACAATGTACTTTGGGCCAGAAGTGTCGGTGTTATCCGCGATATCGACACGGAACGCTGGAGCCTGAATTCCTCTCGCTGCTACTTCCTCTCGCTAGTTATGAATCTGACCAGAGATGTTTATGTCGTCCTCCAGCTAATGACGGAGAGGGCAAGAGATAAAAACTTTAGACAGAAAATGGAGACGCATCTCGGTGAGAGTCCTGAAGTAGCCGAAGCCGTCGTTCCTCAGCTTGACGCGTTTTTCTTTCTGCTGTTGGAGAGCCTAAAATCGCATCCTGCTGTTGCTGTGGACACGCTGAAAAATATATGCGACCTCTTCATTCCCCTCCACAGGTTGGGTTTATATCAGTCCAATGCAGGAGTGGTGGGATTCTGTGGTTTGATGTCCTCAGTGATTGGGATTGTAACCCTCGTGCAGCCGAAGTTCACACTTAAACCATGAGAAGGGTGGAGTTAAACCTCACTGACGAACTGTAGTAATAACATATTATTGTGTCAGGTCTTTAAAAGGGTTTAGTGTCATTTCACTGGAGCTGTCGTTTGGGTCCGAAGTCAACCTGGTTCACAGTGAGATTAAGCAACGTCAGAGGCACATTTTGTAACATTTATGTTTGAATAGCATTTATGTTTTACACTGAAGGGATGGCTGGATTTGATCGTTTTGTAACAGATGTTTTGATTGATTGAACTGATTGCATCATACTTCTGAGGCACGATGAATAAGGGCCAGTTAAAGTTTAAAACACTGGTTTAAAAGGGAGCAAATCAAGGTTACAGAGAAGCCGTGTTCATTTTTCGTAATTTAAAAACAACCCAAGGCTAAACTTATGTGCATTCCTGTCTTCTCCAACACCACATCTAACACCAGCAGTTTTGTATCTACTTATACGGTAAGGGCTTATTACTGATGCAAGCTTTTTTTGCATTTGCTTTTATACATCTCTTAGAAAAAGTAAAATCTTAATCTGAGTGAAGACGCAACTTCAAGTTCACCGTCTTGCTTTGCTCTAATGTTTTGTGATAAGATGCTGCTCAAAGTTTTACCTCAATGATTCAAGTGATGAATCAGCTGCTTCTCACTCAAAGGTGCTTCCAGAGGGGAAACACAGCGGAGAGATTTCTGTGAATAGCTGCAGACATTTTGACTTGTCATAGTAGGAAAAATGCACATTTTACTATTAACACAATCAATGGCTCTGTTTCTATCAAAGTGTCCCAGTAAGAGTGACCGTGTGCCAGCATGCACAATACCATGACCCCGAAATCAAAACTGCTAGATGAAATCCAGCCGTTACTGATTTCTTTATTTACACATGTGCTTATCCTACTGTGACAAATTTAAAGTGTTGTGCGTGAAAAAGGCCCTTCATCTCGCCTGTTAGGTGTTTTTCATTCTGCCATTCAAGCATGTCCTGGACCTTGCATATGGTGTTACTAATATAAATGACTAAAACACCCTTGATAATGTGATTACAAATAAATTCTTAACATATTGTCTATGAATTGTGTGCTTGGGTTTGTATGTTATTTTTATCAATCTTTGTGGCACAAACAAAACAAGTGTGAGAGGATCAATTAGAAACCTTCAAATTTCTCTCCAAGCTGCGCGTGCGTGTGACATTTATTATCACATGTAGTCACTGTCACCGTTGGTTGAAATGTTAAAACACTGAAATAAATAGACATTGTAAATTGTGGTTCTTAAAAACAACATGTTTTGTTTTTCAATGAGGATAATCTTTTAACTGTGGTGACCAACGTAAAACTGCTGTGGTTCACTTTATCAACGGAGTAACGCTGCCCTCTGGAGGAATCGTGACACTTTGTTGAATTCAAAAGAGCTTTATTTTTCATTTAGACTGAGACAACAATACACCTTTTTTTTCTGAAAGCTTTTCTCAAGAGGATGGCATTGTGATAAAGCATCCGCCATCAAAAATTTCAAAAATATATTCCATTTCCCTTTCACCATACTTTAAGTTTTGCTGAAAAGAATGAACTATGCAAAGATGAATCCCATAAAAAGACAAACGCATACAAAGCAATAAATAAACTAATTTGTTCTCCTAGGTAGATCAATGGCAGTGATTCATAATAGGCAACATATCTGATTTCAGATTTCCATTGAGACATTGTGTTCCCAGTATCAACACACCAGTTAAATGCACCGGTATTAGTTTGCTGGACTGGAAATGAAAATGCAAACAAAATCCAGGTCCTTCTTCCAAATATACTTGTATGCACATAGCTTACATTACATTACATTAGTTAAATTGGTGTCCTGGAAAACCTTGCATTTCTAAAATGCTGGAAAATGTCAGTGCCAATACACTTTATACATTTTAAAGGCATCTGATATCAACTTAATCAAAAAACGACGACCAAAGCACTTTGAACATTGGCAACAGTGTGAAACTACAGATGTGTAAATACTGCTGGCCCGAGTTATTTTTTGTTTCCAGAATACCAATGATAGTTACATGCAGAGTGTCTGCTCTTTGAATGAAAAAGGCACCATCAGTAGTTGGCTCCTGCAATAGTAAAAAAAAAACCACAGTTAGCACTTGAGAGGCCCCTTACACCGAGGGTCTGGTTCCCCCAAAACATTATGTCAACATGAATGGTACCATCATCTTCATACATACTGACTACACTGATATTTTGCCCATGATGCATTTTGTTTGATGTGTTTTACAATTGACCAATGCTACTTAAGTGGTGCATGGGAAGCCCTTAAGAATCGGTTCAGTAAATCATTAGTACTTTAAGGTCTCACGGTCTTCATGGTGATATGTGGACGTTTCCATCTCGTCACCATCAAAACACTGTTTCTGTACCTTTCTGTTTTGAGTGAGAAATTTTGTATATCTGAGCAGGCATTGTGATCTTGTCTTTTTTTAACATAATTTCAACCATTCCACATGAATGTCCAGATCCAGTACCAGAACAAAACACTGTTCTTTTCAGTCATTATGACTGATCAGACCTTTCCTCCAGTTGGGTGGAGCTATGTGGCACATTTGCTGAGCTCATCAAAATGCATATTGAACAAACGATTTGTAAAATAGGGTGACCTCTTGTCCTGAGAAGAGATTCAAACAGCCCACAAAAAACAAAAAGATTTTTGTAGCTGTACTCGCGCTTTAAGAAGCCTAGCTTTGATATTTAAAGCTCAAAATCTGGGCTCACAATTCTAATATTTCCAATAGTCAGTGCTAATAAATATTTCTTTCCTTGAATTGTTCATATGTGCCAAGAAACAGCAACTGTTGCTAGTCTCAACTCCTTCAAACATACCAGAAGTAACCTATCAAATGTAAAAAGTAAAAAAAAAAGTACATTTACATTTTGCAAAAGAGCCGCTAAGTATTTGACAATAAGCCCACTAAGTATTTTCATTGCAGAGCACATTATTCTGTAGATATTTCTGCAATTATTCTTTCTTTTGATAGTGGTGTTTGCCAGGATTGGACATTGAATTGTATCCCTTAACAGTTCATGATTATTTGACAGAAATAGAAAATAATTAAGACATACACATGGAAAAGAAAACAAGAACGACACAGACAAAACAACAGCTATCCAGTAACAACTATCCAGGAACTGAAATTCCTTCAAACTTAAATACATTTACAGAAAAGGTCTGAGAATGCTGTGAATTGCAGGTTGAACCAAGAACATGTCTGAACAGGGATGGCGTAATCTTGGAAATGTCTGACGTACATGTTAAGGCAAATATTAGCTTCATTCTCTCATTTTAAGCCATCATTAAGACAGTTGTGAGTGCAGCTACATCGATGCAAACGACAGAGAGAGAACAGAGAACACTGACATTTGATCTATATTGTCTACTTCAGGCTACAGCTAATTATAAGGTGAAATAAAAGCACAGTTTGTGGTTATTCAGATGTACCTGCCTTGGGACAGAAAGCCTAAAATGAGTCTAACAGACCCGCTAGCAGCCTCTAGAGGTCCGCCTGCTCTTTACACCGAAGTGAACCAAAGTGGTATGAACTGAGTGACCGACGACAAATTGTACGGGCCAATTTGTTAAAGGCATCTCTATTGCAATCTATCTAAATACTTCAACCAAAGCAAAATCATAGTAAATCAATGTGGACAGCTCGATTAACACGATAAAATGCCCCGTAAGCTTTTTGAACTGCATGTAGAGTACAAAGTTATGTTTCACAGAGCTTGTAGTCATTCATCTACAGCGTAAATAACGCATGATTACTTACAAACCTGTAACCAGAACACTTGAGAGAGTTGATAATGAAAAGGCAGTTTGTGGTAGGCTACATGTGGGTGAATCTAACACTAGATGTGCTGAAGCACCATCTTGAAACCAGCATTCAGGTACTGGGAGGAGTGGTTTTGTGGCATTCCAACATTCCTTCGAAATGACACAGGACGTTGGCAGAAAGCTACATGGTGAAATTCCTTATGCCCAAAGAACTTTGCATATAATGCTTTAAACTTGTGATAGATTGAGACACATGTTGTACGGTCCCGGTCCTGCAAGAATATATATATATATATATATATTTCTTTTTTTTTATGGCCGCTAACATTTTGTAAGCATGTGGTCTGAAGGGAGATACATTGTTAATGGAGTGACCTTATCTTTGTCAATATGTGATCTTATTACTGTTACAAATGAATAATTAATGCGATTCAGGGTGTTGACTTTCTGTCAGCAAACAGCATTTAAACAGATTCCTCTGTTTGTTAAATATAAAGACTTTAGTAGCATTTGCTTCAACCTAAGATTGATTGTACCATCAATTATATACTCTGTTTTTTAATATAAATCAACACATTTTTTCTTAGTTCTGACGAGATAAAGGATAGATTAAAAATCAAATCAAGCAGGAAGGATCACATCTGCTTTACATTTCAGAAAAATGGATTTGGCTTTCACTTTTACAGCAGAACAGAATCCAGCGATAATCATAGTTGAAACCCATAATGTTAAAGGACAACCTTTGATCACGAGTCGGTGGTCTCAGCCCACTTTTGAAAGAGAACATTGCTCCTCGATTCCATTTACACGCGGAGAAGTAAAGTGAATAGTGTCTCAGCGACTGCAGGACCCAGCTGGGTAGTCTTTGGGTCCATTAGGAGTCTTTTTGTCCGGTCATATTACACCCTGCTGAGGGTAGAAACCAGTTACTAGGAGAGTCCCTGTGCTTGGTCATAATCTGTGATCAGGCCTTTGATATGCGACAGTTTCTGATGGAGGTACTCGCATCGCTTCTTCTCTTCCCGATAACCAGGGAACTTCTGAAAAGAAAAAAAATGGGCACAAGTGAGCTTTTGGTAACGCATGTCGGCATCGTATTAACATCATAACATCATAAACCTCGCTTTTTTTTTTTGGGGGGGGGGGGGGTACTTCAGTGTTTCAGTAGCATAATCAAAGCCCCCAAGTTGCTGTATAAGGCAGATTTTCTCATCAACGGAGTGAAATTGTAATTGCGTCAGTAGGCTAGTTATATTAGGGGATTGAACTATTAAAGCCATGTCCAAAATAAAGAAGGAATGGGTTGACTTGAAGTTAGATGCCAAATGTCTTGCTAAATGACATGGGAGGTTGTCCAGGGGACATGACGTGAGGTGCTTTAATGGGACGTGTTGCCTGAGACAACTATCAGTATAAAAACCTTGACAGAGGCAGAATTACTGACCTGTATAAATTGTTATTCCAAAATACTCCTCACAATAAAATCTAAGTGATGTGGCAAGCCACAATGCACATTCGACTGATGTGGTGAACATATCGATAATTCATAATGTTTTATTCTATTTTTGATTTCTTTTAATTGGTAAATGTTTTGTTTTTTTATCACTTAAAAATGAATATGTTCATATGAGTCTTTCTGGCGTGATGCCCAGTGTATAGTGCTACAAGAGTTGCATGAAATTAGTTCAAATTCAAACAGCTCTTACTTTCTTATACTTTCGGTACTTTTGTAGTATTTGGACCTCCATAAGCTGAAAAGACAACAAAATAAAAGTAGTGTTAGGATGCCATGTATCTGATCAGTTCATTGTTAGAGCAGTTAAAGGCTCCTGGTCCGGACAGTACCTTGTACTCTTGTGTTCCCGGGGAGAGAGTGTTGATCTTTGAGCCCAACTGAACAAACATCTCTGTAATAGCCCCAATCCGATCATGAAGAGCTCTGTATTCATCGTACTCTGCGCAGAAGTCGTCTTTATACTCTTGCCGCTGCTCCAGTGCTGTTATGGCGCTGTATTTTCTGAAGAAAAAAAACAAAAAAACATAAGAAGTTGTTTCTAATTTGTTCCAGTAGATGGCAGTGCAGAACGGTAGAGCCAGAGGCCTGACACGTCACTGATTTAACAGCATGATGTGTTGACCAGATGTATAAATGTAAAACATAAGGTCGTGTGTTTGCTTCAGGGAAGCTTTGTGACAGCTCAGTTAGACATGGCTTTGCTTAACTCTATTTACGTGAATGTTTTGAAGCTGATCCTAACCCTTTTGGGGGTCGGTTTTCTTCTCTCACCAACAGTGGGTTAGACTCTGAAACCTAAACTGCTCAGTGACAAATGATTTAAACAACGATGTATGAGGACCCACTAATGATGAGACAATTATTGTAATTTCATTCCTGAATCATAAATCCCTTTTTGGATTTATAGCAGGGCAGAGAGTGTGTCTGAATCTTACATTAAATAGTCGGGCAGTTCTTCTGCGGAGGTTCGATTGACAGGTGTTTTCTCTCTTTCATGGTCTGTCGATAGGAAAAACACACACACACACATTGAAAAAGAAAACTGTTAGAGTAATCTGCCAATGCAAATGCGATGATGTGCCCATCATATCAAGGCTGACGGAATAATTTATCACTCTTTCCGATTAGAGATCTGATCCAAGGCGAGCAGTGACGTCTGCAGCCCCAGAGTAGGAGGCAATGCTGCCTGCTGACTCGCTCGACCGTAGGTCACCCAGCTGTTTCACAGTCAATCATCAACAGACTGGAGCAGAGCGTGAGGACTGCGGCGCTGAGAAAGTGCTACAATCCTAACAACACTCACTGCTCTTTCAAACTTAAACGTATCAATTGCTCCTTGTTGGCCTCCAGCAGCGACTATAACTCAAACCTGAGTTTTCATTTTGCTTAAGTAAAGAAGATAATGTTATGGCCCAACCAAATAATATAAAACAGACTCATGGCAGCAATAGGAAACATGAAGTGTGAGAAAAACCTTACAGAGACAGTTTTATGGTTTTAAGGCCATTTACCTTTAAGATTTTCTCGGTTCTGCTTCAGGTCTGGACTCGTCTCAATCCAGTCTGGTTTTAAGCGCTCTCGTTCTTTGTCTTTGTGCTTTTTGGACCTCTTCTTTTTATGTTGGCCGTTGGTAAATTGTTGGTCAGTGCAAATGGACGTGTTAGTGTGTGGGGGCTTAGGGCTTAGTGCAGTAGGAGTTGGCTCTGTCCTTTCCCGTTTGGGAATCGTAGATGACCCGCTGAGTTTGTGTGGCGAGTACAGACCATTTGGACTCCCTTGGAGGTGATTGCTAGTTTTGTCGAACTCCAGTTTGATCTGTACTCTCGAGTTTCCATGACTAGAGGAGCTACGAGCCCCATTGGTGCCGTACTCTCCATGAGACGGCGAATGCAGAGGCAAACACTGGTCTAATAGTCTTTGTTTTTTGGGGGTCTGACAGTTAGATGGGTCCGAGGGCAATGGGCGTTTCTACAGGGGGAAAAAAGGAGAACATAGTGACTGATTAGCTTTTACTTTTGAGTGCAAGTTACATGAGATGTGCCAAATGTGCCTGTATCATGTGCATGAATAGATATTTACTTTAAAAGAATAGTTTGACAAATATTTTTAACCCCTTTGTATTAGCAGAGTTAGTTGAGAAGATTGACGCCACACCAGCCAACAGCTGGTTAGTTTACCTTTGCATAAGAACTTGAAACTGCTAGCCTTGTTCTGTCCACAGGTAACAACAGCTCACATGTTAACACGGAATATCTTATTTGTATTATCCATATATATCTTATTTGTATTATCCATATAGAGATAGAGGTGTGAAAACAACAATTCACTGTTTTACGGAGGAGGGGGCGTTGATTGCCGAAAACTAATCTCCGCCAAGAAACAGTGCGTCACACTACATGCGCCAGCTATTGATTTATTGTACGAGACACATGAGAGGGGTATCAATCTTCTCATCTCACACTCGGGGAAGAATGCGAGTATTTCCCAAATTGTCTCACTATTTATTTGATTCCAGTGAGGGCTGAAGCTGTTCAATATAACTTCACGAAGATATAGCAGTTTATCATATTTACTGTAATGTATCTGCAAAAGAGGAAGTGCCCTATCTATTCTCAGTTGTATAAGGAAGAAGAAGTAGCAGAATGCAGTTCATTCAAGGTGAATAATTACCGCAGAGAGATTCTTGGCAGGACTGAGATGTGATGGAGAGTCCCCGGGAGTTTTGAGGAATGAAGGGTTGGACTGGGGACTCTTCAACTGGCTACCGTGGAGAGGCTGAAGTTTCCTGTAGAAAGATTTAGAACACAGCATCTTTAGTTGGACAGTAACTGCGAGGAAAACTGCCTGTAAAGCTAAACAGAAAAAGGCAGTATGTAGGTTATGAAGCTTGCTTTGGCAGATTTATGAGCCTCTGGATGAGCAATTATCATTTATTATGACACGGCTTCCAGAGATAAGACAGCGGTGGCAGCTTTTCCACAGTAGAAACAATTATTGACATAAAAAAAAAAAAAAACTTTTACATTTTATCAAACCTTTTTGTAAGGTTAGCCTGTGTAGTTTGTTTTGTTTTGTTGTCTCTGCTGATGCAGTCTACAGGAGGCAAGCACAAAGACTAAACGCGTCCAGTGAGCAGAACAATAGCAGCAGATTTAACCTCAGTAGGACCAAACCCTCTTCTCTGTTAATCTGCTTCCTACAGCTCCTTCCTCAAACAGACGCTACAACAAGTCACACCCCACAATGGATTCATGCAACCTTAATCATGGCCAGTGTGAGTGGAGTTTGGAACAATTAAACATTACTGTCAATGAAATGAAAGACGTGAGAAAGTCTGAATAAGAAGAATCCACTGCTACAAATGAAGAAACTAGAGCAAATAAATCTGGAGTTGACACTATTTACAGGGCATCACAGTTTTATCACACTTGGCAAACAATTTGATGACTACAATTGTAAGCTTATTGCACTGAGCAGGGGTGGTGAACAGAGTGGATTGTGCAATCAGCCAACAGGACTTGAGCTTTATCCAAAACGTTCATGAAGCACATGGCCTGCATGTTTACTGGCAAGCAGAGGAAATGTATGAGAGAATGAAGCTCACCCTGAAAAGCTCAGCCTTGCTGCTCTGAACCTTCCATTCTAATGCCATTTGGCAACAAGGTGCAGGGAATACTTTCCTGTGCTTTGATGTGTCCATTAAGAGGTTCATCAGTGCAAAGAAGGAGTGATTTAGAAGCTCCCCTTTCAACATGATCTCAGCAGACCTCAACATTAATTAAGTGGCCTTTCTGTATTAACGCCAGCACTGTCAAAATGCATCCATCCCTTAGTCCTTTGCCCAAACAGGTCTCGAAAAAAACTTTAGAGTAGTAGTTTGACATAGTTAGATGAAAAGATGCATACCACTCTCGTGTGTGTGTCGGGTAAATCTAGAGCAACAGTCTGCAGGTGATTAGCTTAGCACAAAGACGGGAAACAGCTAGCTTGGCTCTGTCCAAAGGTAACAAAATCCCTTACCAGGACCTCTAGGACCTCAAGGTGCTGGGTGGTTTATTTTGTTAACCCCATGCTGGGCCAGGTTAGCTGTTACCCCCTGTTTCCAGGCTTTATGCTGTAGCTTTATATTTAGTGTAGACATGAAACCGTCTCATCTAACTGGATCGATTTCCCAAAATATCGAACTATTGCTTTAAAAAAAAGTCATTCCAACTCTCTCAATAAAGCAAAATGAGAACAATGTTTGTGTATTATGGCTAACTCAATACCAACCTGAGCAGGAGCCTATGGATGAGTTGCTTCTCCTCCTCTAGATATCCAGGCCATTCTCTCTGGACGTGTCTGTAGAGCTCATCCTTTAGAGAGTAGCTGTGGTCTTTAGGGTTCAGTTTACCAACCTACAAAACAGACAGTTCCCAATCTAAATAAATCAACAGAAAGGGGACAACAGGAAAAGAGGCCAGCGGAGGTTGTAAATGTACCTCACTGTGTTAACCTGCCGTAACTCCACCTTATATTTAAATAAAAGACCTGTTTGCGACTAAGTGGGTCTGTGTTATTCCGCGGTAAACAGTTTAACCCCACCCTTATACAACTTAATCCTACTGATATAAATCGAGACAAACCAGCCACTTTTAATTCTAATAGTAGTCAGAGCCCAGCTGGAGACACCCCACCCATCACTATCAAAACACAATCTTTTCCTCAAAAAATAATTAAAGCACAGCCCTAATTACTGCTACCAACAGCGGTGGCACAGTATGCCCTTGATGACTGCAGTGGGACCCTCAAACATTGTGAACACAGGAAATATGCCTGAAATAAACTTACTGACATCAACTTTTTATAGCTGATATCAACTCAAGCTAAAAGCACTCAATATTTTGGTATTTTCTGTTACACCTGAGTATATTTCATCATTAGTCGACTGTGTTGACAGAGCTATGTGCCAGATGTCTCACCTCATCCAGTACTGAGGTCAGGTCAGCTTTGTCCTTTGGACTGGCTCGCTCCCTCTCCAACCACAGTAGCAGCTCAGGTTTCTTGTAGGGCTTTAGGGCCAGGAGATGAATGATGCGATCCCTCAAGGGCCGGTGTGCCACAGGGCTGGGAACCAGGCTCCTCTTGTTGCTGGGGGAGTGTTTGTTGCTGCTATCTGAGCCTGATACCAGACCCTGCTTCCTCTGGACCTTCACGCACTTACCTAAAATCAAAACAAAGGGACGCATAGCAGAGTTTCAACAGGAGATTTGTGGAAAACAAGGGCAAGTTGTTGAATCAAAAAGTTATCACGGCAGTAATCCAAAGCTGTTTTGAATGGCCGTACTATTGCCACAACAGACAAAACTAGAGAAGACCGAAGAGATTGTAACTGATCTGATAACAGGACTCAAATACGTTGACGGTATCCTGTAATAGCACGTATCATTGCCAATGCAGTTTTCAGGCCAGTTATACAAATCACACCCAGCTTTTAACATCTTATCTCTGTTATATCTCTCTATTGTCATCTTTACGTACAAGCAACAGATAGCGTACGTGCAACACTTTTATCCCAATTTGAAAAAGCTATTTAAATACCTTGAGCACTTTTCTGTGTCGGTGTCTGAAGGTAGTGTAGTTGCGAGTGGAAAACAGTGAAAAGGGGTTGACAGTAGGGTTAGCCTACTGCTGAATAAACAGAAGAGTATGGAAACTAAAGCAACTAACACAGAGAGGCCCTTTCTTCCTGTTGCAGTACTAATGCAGTTGGACCTGTGCAGGCAGTGCCTATAGATATCTGCAGACCGTAATCTCATTACAACCGTAAGCCATACTTTGGAGGTTGTGGTTGTTATAGGGTTGGTAGGTCTCATACGAGGGGTTTTACAGTACAGTTATACTGTTAAAACGTTGCACTTTCGAAAAGTAATTTTAGATTTCAGTTGTAGCAATATACAATGTTCCTTGTAAGGTTCAAACAAAGTCACTTTAAATAAACTTTGCCAAATGTAACAGTCTTGCAGGAGCTTGTTTCAACATCTAAACCAAGTCATAAAGATTTCATGCACATATCCTTACTGCTCTGTTTGCAATAATGTATCTATAAAATGGAGGAAAATAATTGGAAATGAACGACTTCAAAACATATTATTTTGAAAAACTTTTACCAACTTGTCTGACACCCAGTGTGCACTCATTTCGGCTGCCTATTTGTCAGTGCCTTCTTTCCCCCTGACGCAACTGAACTTTAAATCATACATTATTATCTAATTTGTGGACATTTTTCTACTCTGCAACCTGTAATTGTGATTTAGTACATGGAATTTTTGTCTGATGAGTCTAGCATTACTGTACCATAAAAAGACAGCCAGTCACCACAAAACAACTGTGTGCTCTCTACTGCATAAGAAACGTGCTGTGATCCGTAACCCATTTATTTCTCTCTCTGGTGTCCACGAGAAGGGAACGACAGTCGTGTGCTTAAAATGACATGTTCAAGTAAAACGGGATGTCCTGTCACTGCGTGTTTATAACGTTTGCATTAAGTGCATGCAAGTGCCAGATTAAGTTTATTTTGTAAAAGCCTCTGAGAGACAGCAAAGCGTGGCATGCAATTTGTTGGAGCCCATTTCAACAGCTGGCTTCTACAGCAATTACCCCAAACATCATGTTGTAGCGTTTGTCTACATGTTATCATGCATAAAAGATGACCCACACAAGCACTTAAATCCACAGAGGACCTCTAAATGGTCAGATCATTTATAAAGTTTCAGCATGGTCAATTTAACCGACAATAACTCTAAAAACGCGACTCAGACAAGGTGACGGCAATGAATAGAAAACATGAATTGCAAGTCGAAGATCCTGCATGTTAGGCCCCGATCATTCCAGGTTAAGCGTGGCCTCTTCTTTAGATGATATTTAGAAGTATTTCATCAAATGAAAATTAATTAAATTCCAGTCAGTGTAATTACATTTTAGGCAAAACTTCATCAGCATGAGACTTGTTAGCGCATACTTCTGGCAAACTCAATCACATTAATGGTGCTGGCAGGCGAGCTGGCACAGCGCCTGAGCAATCTGGTCAAAATGAAAGGAAAATTACAAGACAGAGAGACATCCCTCTCGCATGAATGATTGCAACGCAGCGCTTTGATCAATTATGTGATAACTTCCACACCATATGGCAATTATCAGTAGGATAAAATGTTGAGAAGCAATGGTTTAGAAGCTTTCTGGGAACATGGAAACTCTGGTTATCTGTCCTTGATCCCTACGTGCTTGAAGGATGTAGATATTAAGCAAAAGCTTACTTGGCCCCGGCTTTATCTCAATTGCTGAGCGGCTCCAGATGTCCTTCTCCACCTGAGACATGCGCTCCCGGGTCGTCTGGTAGGAGTCATCTGTGGCACAAACTGTGATCTTGTCCTGAATGCTGCCCTGGCCCTCCAGGTGTTCCCTGCCCTCCCTGTGGGGAGACGAAAGGAGGAGAGAGAGTTTATGTTTAAGAATTCTCTGGCTCGGCTTTATTAACAGGCCATTTGTCAAACGCAAGCACTGGAGATTCTTGCTGTCATACAATCCTTTCTGATGTTGTGTGACACTCACATAACAGGTTCTGTGAACTGTGCCTTGCTTGTAAATTCTTGTCCTGTGTTATAAATCATCTATAAAAGGTTAAAATCGAACCCTTTGACACTGCAGCCACAAACACTACCTCTCTGTTCTCAATTATTGCCGGTCACACCTTTGTGGTCAGTTGCGACATGACAGCCTTTTGGTGTTTTTGTAGTCTTGTTTGAATATAGCCTGACAGTGGTACTGTCTGTTGTTGCACCGAAGAGAGACGCCACTGTTTGGTGAGGCCCTGCGGCCAAAGTCTGACACCAAATTTACTGCAAATTACATCTGCGGTCGGACTGTGGAAAGAGTTATGTGTGCTGCTTACCCCGAGACATACTGGTGAATGCAGTCGAAGCTGGACTGAGGCTTGTCTTTGCTGTCACTGGAAAGGTAGAACGAGAAGACTCTCAATCCATCAGGAGATTCAGGTGTTGGCGCTGGGATCTTAACATACTGTCAGGACAAATAAAGAAACAAGCAAAAAAGAATTTAGAGGAGTAAAATATCTTTATAATGAAAATTGAAAATAATTATTCATTTTACAGTGTTCTCTAGCACAGTGTTTCCCAAACGTTGTATTCCTTGAGAACCCACTTATTAAAAATGACAAACCATCGAGACCCAATTCAGAATAATTCTAATCTATAAATTGTGAGAGAGGAGAATTTGTGCAATATACGTTTGATAAATCACAACTTTGTTTTATGCATGTGTTATTAAAAACGTATACACTTAATAAATGAGACCAAATAAATACATTTTGGCAGAGTTAACAGGCTATCTCATTCTTTTCATTTCCTTTCATCAGTTAAACAAATAAAACAAATGGTAGCCTTTCGTATTAGATACAATTGTATAAGTACGCTACACTTATCTGAACAAAACAAACATTCAGGCTGGCTAGAATGTGTACTGCAGATATACATTTTAAATAAAAGACAATGGAAGAAATTCTGCAAATTGATTTGGCGAGCCGAATAACATCTCCTGCGAACCACCTGTCTTTGGGTCTGACTGAGCTCGCACACGCTCACATGCTTCAGTGTACTGTATCTGCTCCCATTGCTAATTTGAGTCATGTGTTATGTATATAAGCATGTTTTATTTTTCCCCAGATCTGATCTGATTCAATGTAATCTCAAATTGGGAAAAACGCTGGATAAAGTAAATCAACAAAGCAGCTTCTTTTATTTAAACCGATTAGAGCTAACTTGACTCACTGTTTTTCTTTTTCTTTTTGATTTTTCACTCGATAAATGTGACCTAAATAATCTTCCACTTGGGCCAATCACAGAGGCTACATTGTACCTCCCAGGTCAGGGATGATGACCTGTAGCCTGTCATGGGGGGAGCCTGTCTGAAAGGCAAAACATAACAATAGTATAGCAGACAGCTTTTTCACTTAGACGTTAACCTCCTCTGTCACAGACTGTCCGCCGCTCCCTAGCAACAAACAAGCCAGCAGGGTGAAGTCTATCTCTGTCAGCAACCTCTTACATAAAATGACCCAAAAACCTACTTCCCCTAAAAGGACAATTCAACATAGAAAGTCATTAACCTACAGGTAACATGCCCTTTAAAACACATTTGGCAGGGGCTCTCTTCTACACCGCCTGCAGCTGTGTTTCAGCCTGAAAATGGACAGTTTAGTACTTTTGTTGATAGTGACCTAGATCCAACAGAAGCCCTGTGATTATCACCCATTCTTTACAAGCATGAACACGTGCTTACTGATGAATTGTTCTTAATGTCAGATGTCTGCAACAGCTCACACCACACAGGACCTTTTTCAACTGCAGGTCTCAAAAACAACGACAGTCAGGTGTACTTGAAGCTGCCTCTTTAGTTATCAGTCATAAGTGATTGATTATAAAGTGACTGGCCGAGAGCACAGTGTCCCCGGCAGATGTGGCAGGCAGGACTATAGCTGTCACAAATGCCCAGTCATGCAGCAAAGCCATAAGCATTTTTTTGCAGCACGGAGCCAATGAACAGCTCCTCGCCTCGACACCCCTCCTCCTCTTCTAAAAACCCAAATGCATGCTATTCACCCCACCCCCATCAGCCTCCAGCTTCCCTTCATGTGCACAAGCCCACCCATGTCAACACAAAACGCAAAGCGGCCCACAAGGCCATGAACACTTAAGACACACAGCTGACCATTAATTCTGACCTATTTATGTCTGACCGTTCTCATGAAGTGGTAAAGCCGAGTCCCGCGTACGTCTGCTTTGGGTTTTACGCTAATTAAGGACGATCAACCAAAAAAGCATCAAAGTGAGCAGAGACAAGAGGCCAGCCGTGTCCTCAGGACCTATTACTTTGTTAAAGTAGTAGGAGCTGCGACCACAATTAGAAGCAACAAGTCACTAAAATGGGGTTATTGACGTGGAGGAGGACACGCAGAAGAACTGCAATTGAATTTCTTTAAAAACGGCAGTCCTGTTAAACAAAAGATAGCCTGTGATGAGATGAGAGCGAACATTTACACATTTAGCATCGCAATAATGCCACCACGTCCCCTCTTTCAGTCGATGGCAGCAGTATGAGCCCCCTCCAGTCATGCATTAGTTTTGCCCGTCACCCCGTCCATGCCACCGTGCACACTTCACATTCTAATTCTAATCAATGTCACTCAGGTCAGACTGTTCAGAGGTCGCCCCCGTTTTATTCACAGCTTCCTTCTCAAGCTACATAACCATATGTCCTTTAACCCATTAGTTCCCAGTTTCTGACTCCTAAAGGAGAGCCTGTCGGTCTAACATCAGGTTCACAGACAATAACAAAACATGAGACTCTAAATTTGAAACTTCAAGCACTAGTTTTTTGGAAAACCGCTGATTCGCTTTCTTGCCGAGAGTTTGTTGAGAGAATTGATACTCTCATCACATGTCTGTACGATAACTATAATGCTTCAACCAGCCCTCAATTAGCTTACTTTAGCACAAAGACTGGAAATGGGGAAATGGATAGCCTGGCGCTTTACACTATGCAGGTAACAAAATCTGCAAACGAGCACCTAAAACTCACTAATTGGCATGTTATATCTGGTTTATTTAATCTGTACCGAAACAAAAGTGTCTCAAACTACTACCTGTCTTTTGGCAGAAGATTTAATGCAAACATTCCTGTAAAAAGTTGCTTTTAAACCAATCTTGGGAAAGTTTGACTGAACATCGGTCCCTAAAACAAATAGTGTTACAGTAGAACAGAATGATCCTTAAGTCAACAAACTGAGTCAGAACTGTCAGTTACAGCGCAATATCTACATAAAGTTGCCACAAGAGCTCAACCAATATATTGGCTGATTTAAACTAATTCCAGATATTTTGGTATGGGTGTATACAGTATGTTGGCCAATAACAAAGAAGACATGTCAGTGCAGAAATGCCAAAAATTATGTTTTAGGTGACTAAGACATTATTGGCCATTATCAGATATCTCTCAAATATTGATATCAGCATCAACAATTCAGTATCAGTCAGGCTATTGTCGCCACCCTTCGGCTGCTGGCCATACCAGACCAAGTACTGCTGTGGCTGCAGAACACCAGAGTGTGTTGCATTTAACAATGGTGCTTTTATTGCTCTGAGTTGAAGTTTTCTTTTGTAAGCGGAAGAATGTATTCTTTCTTCTTTTTAACGTTATATTGTTTTGCTTTAATGGTCTGAACCCACTGGTAAAAACAAGTAAAGTTCAAATCAAATGTGTTTTATTAACTAATGGGTCATTATTAGACTTTCTCCATCCGTTTGGTGGTGCATTTGAAACCTTTATGTGTTTTAGGAGACACCCTCCTTACTTGATAATCATTATCACTTCAGGAAATAACATATTCATGACCTCGTTTCCTGGTCAGTCAACAAGAACAACAAGAACAACAAGAGGAACCTACTCAACAACATTGTTGTAGTCTGAACAACAAGGGATTTACAGATTTCAGCATTAAACAGTGACCATAGAATACACTTAACATCACAACCAAATCATGCAAAGTGGCCAGTGTTACCATCATCCCACTCAGCCTGATTGAATTAACTTTGACTTTTCATGTGTTTAGTCAGTGACACCATTGTGCCCACAGGTTTGTGATCCTGACGCTGCTGTCAGTCAAGTAGTAGGTGCAGATTTGCATGGAGACGCTGAGTCATAGACATCTCCATGTGGAGCTTTGCTCTGATCCCCTGAGGCCATGTGTTTTTTTCGTGTGTTGTCGTTTTGCCTTCTTTTAGGCTGAGGAGGCCTCACACTCCCACAGTGCTGATGCAGGGAGAGAGGTCAAATATCTAGCTGATGGGTTAGGCTCCATGTTAACAGAGAGAGAGACTTTGTGGAATCACCATGTACACACATCAATGAACAAGCAACAATATAAGCAAAGACACTGAACTTATGATGCTCAATTTAAATATGAGTCACAATAAGTACACACAGAAGCTGTCATAGTGGCTAACAGAGTTCAGAGTTCAGACTCTGCTAATAACAGCTCATAGAAATATATACTTCCAGTACTCTCAGTTCAAGGACTGGTGAGTCATGGACACATATCCAGACAGAAAATTGGTTCAAGTGCATTTTTGTGTTACATGCTTATTAATGGCCACATCAATACTTGTATTGTATGGCACACATACTGTATACCGTAAGAGGGTGATCATGTTCTGGGACTCTGAGGCACAAAATGAGTCTAATCTTATTATGTATAAACAGAATCCTGCAAGTGACTCCTTCACGAAGAGGCAAGTATTTTTTTTAAACTCAGTTTTACTCAAGTTCTTTTAATTAAAAAAAAAATGGCATTGTAGTTATTAAAAATATATTTACATTTTCAATTATATTAAAATCTTTTCTGATGTATAATTTGAACGTGCTATTCCTACTGTTGGAGTTCTTAATTTTATGGAAATAACTATTAAATCAGTGTTATTTGTCCAGCTCTGAACCAGGGAAAGAATAATTAAATTGCTTATGCTCCATAATATTTTAATTATGATTGTGAGAATCCTTTAATCTGATGATGAATTAATCTGAGCAAAGCTTAACGGGGTATTATTGTCATCAGAGTGTACTAATACCACGTGTCAGTTACATACAATTAAAAAGGAACAGAGTAGTGAGAGCTGTGTGCATGATGTAAGTAAAGTTTAGCCGTTGGACAGTTACAGTAAAAGACCCCAAATGGCATCAGAACAGCAATCCTTAACACCTCGTCAGTGTAGCCCCCCATGGGGCGTACGGGCTGGTACAATAACTGCCTCTGTGGCCTCAGCCCAGCCACATCTGTTACTCCAGGCCCTGTGTGTTTGGAGATGTCAAATACTTTCGGGCTGTTGTAAGGTGTGAACTGGACTGGAACAGAAAATCTTGGCAGGGGGCTCAGCGGCTGAACAAGAACAAAGGACACCGCCAGTGATGTCCTTGTAAAACTTCATCTTTAACTCCCCACGGATGTT